TCTGTATTCAACAATTTTATAACTTCCCAGAGATTCTAGAATTTCTACAGTTCATTTTGTTTCATTCTCAGGGGAGAGGAAACAAAATTAACTGCACACCTTATAAAATAGGAGTTACTAGACCATCACACACTTTAATTACTCTCATGAATGAAATATAATGCAGAGAAGATCACATTTCCACTCTGTGCTGAAACAAAATGTGCACTGTGCAGATCTTACAGATAGTTCTTTCAGATGCACATATTGTTCTAGCTTTAATAACTAAACATTTGCCTTACACTACCACAGTCACGATTATAGTGCATAATTTAATCACAAAGAATGCATGACTCACATTCCCACATAGACTAGTCACCTAGAACTGTATGGATTATGTACAAGCCATTAACACACCATTTGTAGGATCAAAATCGTTCACAAAAAAAGGCGAGAGATATTGCTTTAATTTAAAAGCTGGACTGAGATCACAATCCCAGGCAGACACACAAGTGAGAGTTGGGAGACTTTCAACACTTGTAGTGCAATCTGATGTGTGTGCTGTGTGTACCCTAGATGTGCCTCAGACAGATTTCAGTGATACTTCCTCCTCTTCATTTACATTTATCTGAAATTAACGGTAAAATCAACCAAAGGCAAAATTTAAATTTTTAAAAACGTAACTGACATTGTAATAATCTACAGGTTTCCTTGCAGGATTTTAGTTGGATTGAATGGGCCATTCTAATGCATTCAGGTGCTTCTTTTTAAAACACTCCATTTCTGGCTGTGTGTTTAGGGCAATGTTGTGCTGGAAAGTGAAACTGGCCCAGACTCCTGCTTCTTGCAGGCTGAAACAAGTTTATGTTGCATTGTCCTGTATTTGACTCGATCCATCTTGACCTTAATCTAAACCTAAGCACTTAGTCTACAATCACCTAAGCTCCCACCTCACTGACAACAACCTCCTCGATCCACTACAGTCTGGCTTCCGTCCCCTACACTCCACCAAAACCGCCCTACTCAAAATCACTAATGACCTGCTAACCCCCAAAACTAATGGCCACTACTCAGTCCTCCTACTCCTCGACCTTTCCGCGGACTTCGACACAGTTGACCACCCCCTCCTCCTTAATAACCTACACTCCCTCGACATCAGAGACTCCGCTCTCTCCTGGCTCTCCTCCTATCTATCCCAACGCTCCTTCAGCATTACCTATAATGCTACCACCTCCCCCTCTCTGTTGGGGTCCCCCAAGGCTCTGTCCTCGGGCCCCTTCTCTTCTCCATCTACACCTCCTCCCTGGGCAAACTGATACACTCCCACAGCTTCAACTATCACCTCTATGCCAATGACACGAAAATTTACCTCTCGGCCCCTCACCTCACCCCTTCAGTCTCCGCCCATATCGCCCACCTACTAAACGACATATCAGACTGGATGTCGCTCCATTTCCTCAAATTGAACCTTTCCAAAACCGAGCTCCTAATTTTCCCCCCAGCCTGTGCCCCCCCCCATCCTCTCCATCACGACCAACAACGCCACCATCAGTCCCACCCCGCAAGCCAAAGACCTAGGTGTCACTCTAGACTCAAACCTGTCCTTCCAACCCCATGTCCAATCGTTGGCAAACTCATGCAGGCTCCACCTCTGCAACATCTCCAAAGTATGTACGTTCCTAACCCCAGACACTACTAAACAACTCGTTCACTCCCTTATCTCATGCCTGGACTACTGCAACTCCCTTCTCACCAGCCTACCCCAACACAGGCTATCCCCATTTCAGTCTATCCTGAACTCTGCAGCCAGACTCATCCACCTTACCAACTGCTCCGCTTCTGCCACCCCCCTCTGTCATTCCCTCCACTGGCTTCCGATTGCCCAACACATTGGATTCAAAATACTAACACTGACATACAAAGCCATTCATAACGCTGCCCCGAACTACCTCACTGACCTGATACCCAAATACCGCCCAACCCGTACTCTTTGCTCCTCACAAGACCTCCTACTTTCTAGCTCCCTGGTCTCCTCCTCCCACGCCCGACTGCAGGACTTCTCCAGCACTTCCCCCATCCTCTGGAACTCACTATCCCAATCCATCAGACTGTCACCTACCCTCCTCACCTTTAGGCGCACCCTGAAAACCCATCTCTTCAGGGAAGCCTACCCCACCCTCACTTAACAGCTGATCTCCTCCACTCCTTTTACCACTCCATCCCCCACAGCCACTTCCTCCTGTACCACTATCCCCTCCCTCCTCGATTGTAAGCTCAAAAGAGCAGGGCCCTTGAACCCCTTGTGTACTGTTTTGTTACTGTATTGTCTCGTGTTCTGTCCCCCACTATAATGTACAGCGCTCAGCAAACCTTTTTTGGCGCTATATAAATACTGTATAATAATAATAATAATAATAAATCCGGATTGATCCCAATCCTTGTTGTTGAAAAGTATCTCCATCATGTGATGCTACAACCACTATAACGTAACGTGGGGATGGCTGTTCCTAGATGATCAAGTGTTGGTTTTCCATTATATATAATGTTTTGACTGCAGAGCACAAAGTTAAAGTTTGGTTTTTAACAGACCATGCTTGTCATTTTTTTTCATGTTCTGGTTATTCTTAAAAGAATTTGGTATGGGTTTAATCAACAATGTTATTGTCACTCTTCCAAAAAAAACAGACGTTGGGAAGCAAACAGGCTGCAAAATTAATGTTTTTCCTGTTTTTATGTAGGTTTCCACAGCTCTTTCAGAATTATCATTGTCCTCTTGCTTTTTTCTTTGACAATTGCTATCCTTACCTGGTAGATAACCTTCTCTATAAAAAGATTGCATTTAGTCTCTAGGGCGTATTTAAAGTGCTTCTAAAGGCAAGACTTTCTTTTTTTTTTTTTACCTTATTGCATTCTCTGATTAAGGTACAAAAAATGTCTCAGTAGTAGTGTTGCCCCCTCATTGCTGCATATTTACCTGAGCTCTATCTCAGTCCCGTACTGTGCCTGTCTACAGCCGCAATGGTCTGTGTTCCTCTCCTCACAAGCCATTGGCTCCTGCTGCTGTCAGTCAAATCCTGTGAGGAAGGAGTGGAGGGCCTTGCAGAAAAAGAGCTTTTGTAGGCTTACCATATAGGGTACAATCGCATTTAGATTTAGCAAAACTATGTAATATGCGGACCTAAGTAACTATCAAACCAATTTTATATCCACTCTTGTACTACATAGTTGTTGATCGATTTAAAGGAGACTGTACTGTCGGATTTTAATGTGTGTGGTAAACTTTAGGGTTGTTACAGAAAAGGGAATTAACACTTCTAGGTATGTACAGTTACTACTCTCCAAATTCAAAGACATGAGACTAAACACAAATGTATTTTACAGGACTTTTTACAGAAATAATTGAGTACTGTCCATGATACTTTTTTTATTTGCATGAACATACAATTTTTAGGACAAGCTTTCAGGGTACGTCATTTTCTTCAAGGTCCAGGCAGTACTACTTCACAAAATATTAGCAGAATGTTAAAAGAAACAATCTCTGAGGGGAAAAAAAAGAAGAACCACACACACAAACAACAAATGTACACAGCAATGGTTACAAAACTAGGATTAGACTTGAGATAAGACAGAGGAAAAGCAAAGACTGGGGGGGGGGGGGCAATTAGCTTACAATCTAAGAGGGAGGGGCTAGTGGTACAAAAGGTAATAACTGTGGGGGATGGACTGGTAGGAAGAATAGAAGATCACATTATTAGCTGACGGCAGGATAGGCTTCCCTCAAGAGATCTCCTAAAAGTGAGCAGAGTAGGTGATAGTCTGATAAATTGGGGTAGAGAGTTCCAGATATTGGGGGAAGCTCTGGAGAAGTCCTGGAGATGAGCATGGGAGGAGCAGACAAGGGAGCTAGAGAGCAAGAGGTTGTGCAAGGAGAGAGTATGGTTTGGGTACAGTTTGGGTGATATTTGGAGACAAGATTGGTGATGTAATTTGGGGCAGAGTTCTAAATAGCTTTTATATGTTATTGTTAATGTTTTCAATTTTATCCGTTGGGCAATGGGAAGCCAGTGGAGGGATTGGCAGAGAGGGGTGGCAAATATGGAATGGTTAGCAAGGTGGATGAGTCTGGCAGCAACATTCATGATAGTCTGAATAGGGGATAGCCTGCGATGAGGTAGGTCAATGAGGAGGGAGTTACAATAGTCAAAAAAATGCTGCAAACTGTGCAACCAAATTAATCCATCAAAAAGTTTCACACACTAAAAATGGACCTTCAATATCACCGGATCATACAGCTGCACCTCCGGTAATGTTTTTTTACCTTATCCAGTGCAAAAAATGTAACAAAGGATCTTACGTTGGCGAAAAAAGGACAGAGGTTGAGAACAAGGATGAATTTGCACAGACATACTATCAAGGAACATAAAGAAGATGAGTTCGGCACCATTTCTCACAACCGGACCACACTATGGAAGACCTCAATATCTTAGTTCTTAAAGGGAATTTCAAAACTATTCAGGAAAGAAAGACTTGAACTAAGAATGATATTTCTATTTGTTACAAAAAGATAACGGCCTTAATTTAGGCATGGGTTTTCTCACTCATTATTCAACAATTTTATGACCCCCTGTGACTGTCATCCCCCCCATCCCAGTCTCTTATCTCTAGTCTAATCCTAGTTTTATAACCATTGCTATGTACATTTGTTTGTATGTGGTGTTTTTTTCCTTCAGAGATTGTTTATTTTAACATTCTGCTAAAACTTTGTGAAGTAGTACTGCTTGGACCCCCTTGAAGAAAGGGACATACCCCAAAAGCTTGTCCTAAAAATTGTATGTTAGAACCACGGGCAATACTCAATTGTTTCTGTCAGAAGTGCACTAATATGGCTACAATCACCTCAAACAGGACATTTTACAAATGCATATGCTAGACATATACATGTATTTATAGGCATTTGCAAACATTTATTCCTACAGTAATCTTGGGATAAATATAAATTTCTGTTAGGCTAAAGCACTTACCAAGAATGAATCCGTTATAATCTGTTCCATTTCTTTCACTGATTTGCTTTGGAGGGCAATTAATGTTTGAAATAGATCCAGCACGGCTTTTTCAAGGCTCGGTAAATGACGAAGCCACAGGCTAAGTACTGCTGATTCACTTAGCACAATCTTCTTCCTTTGTTTGCAAGGAAAACACAAACCAATTTAAAACTAATCTTTTCTTATGATAGACAACATAGCAAATGAAGACCGACATTTCTAGTCTGTTACTGTACACACACCCTGTGACATCAAAAGCACATTTCCAGAAATCCTTGGAAAACTGTTAGAATTACACATACTTCAAAAGAATAATTAAATTTAAAAAAATGTAAAATAACCAGGTACGGCCATGCTTCTGCTTTCAAAAACATACTTTTTAAGCACTGTGACAGGACAAGGCTGTCACTGTGAGATTATAGGGAAATGTGACGCATGATTTGCATTTAGGGTAAATGCAACATTCCAGACTAGAGTTTCTGGGCAGAGAAAGCTGAGTATTTGGATTCTGTAGTTCAGGATCGGAACATTCAATCCCATGTCCGGGTTTTGCTACAGTACACAGGTGTGCAGGGTCGTTATATACTCAGGTCTAAGGATAGCTCAGAGCTCCCAGTTTGGAGACAGCTCCCAGTGGGGGAGACGGAAGGCCTCACTGATGGGTCAGAGGGCCCCAGAAGCCAAAAGACAAAGGGTCCCAAATCCAGGAGTCAGGTTAGCTCCTATCGGAGTTTCAGTAGAACCTTAATCCATAAGCCAGAGGTAAGTCGTGCAGCAGGGTTCTGTGATTAAAGGCTAGAGAGCCATGTATCCATGAGAACTAGACAACACAGTCAGAGAAACTGGTAAGAGGTGCAGAGTGGTACGGCAATTGAAGATGAGTGAGCTTATGAGCCAGGTGGCTCAGCATTTTACAGAATTTGTATTCTGCAAAAGCTGAAGAAGAGCCCCTGCATGGGAAACTATGTTGCTTTCTGCTGTTTTGATAATAGTGGACTACCAGACCCTTAAAATAGTTCCAGCCTATCGTGAACTCACTGTATAGACGCATCTACCATGAGAGCTAACAACCCAAGTCACAGCACCTACAATACTGTGAAAAAGTATTTGCACCCTCCCTGATTATTTATTTTGTTTGCACATTTGCCACACTTGAATGATTCAGATCATCAAACAAATTTTAATATTACACAAAGATACCCCGAGCAAATATAAAATTCAGTTTTAAAATAATAATTTAATTTATTAAGGGGAAAAAAGCTGTCCAAATCTGCCTGGCCCTTTGTGAAAAAGTAATTGCAACCGATTAGCTGAATTAATTTTCACTTGCCACACCCAGGCCTGATTACTACCAGACCTGTTGAATCAAGAAATCACTTAACCGCTTCCATACTGGGCACTTTTACCACCTTCCGGCCCAGGCCAATTTTCAGGTTTCAGTGCTCTCACACTTTGAATGACAATTGCACGGTCATACAACATTGTACCCAAACTGAAATTTTATCATTTTCTTCATACAACTAGAGCTTTCTTTTGGTGGTATTTAATCACATGATTGGTCACAGCAGGTCACATGGTACTGGTAATGGGGCCGGTACACAGATCTATCATCGGCCATGTCCAAGGTACACGGGCAGTGACAGATTGCGCCGCTGCATGGTCTGCTGGCATGCAAACTGCTCATGCCTGAAAGGACGCCATATGGCATCCACCCGGAGGGACAAGGGTCTTTGCCGGTCGCCATTCGGCCATAGGCCGGGCGGTGTCAGGGAATGGGAAGATCGCCTCGGTGATCGAATCTGCACATGCGTAGAATCCTGACAAGACATACAGGCAGACAGGCACTAGGACCCAGGCGCGCCTGTCACCAATGACGGCGCCGGGCAGGCACTAGGACCCAGGAGCGCCTGTCAGGAGTTGGGCGGCCTATTTAAACCCAGCTCTTGCAATGCTCAAGTGCCGTATGGTCTTACCTGTTTCCTGAAGTTCCTGTGAGTAGATTGTTTGTTGCCGACCCTGCCTGACCCTGATTTGCTGTCTGTCTCCTGTTCTGATCCCTGGCTTGTCTGACCATTCTCCTGCTTAACCCTGCACGTTCTGATCTCCTGTTAACGAACCCGGCTTGTGACCTGTTTATTCCTCTGTCTGCTGATTTTGTACCACACTGCCACCACTGTTACCGACCCGGCCTGCCTGACGCTGCTCGTGACCTCCTCACATCAGACTCTATCCTGCTATACACCTCCAACGGTGCTCCTACCACAGCTGGGAGAACTCAGGGGCCGCGACCTGGTCTCGGCCTGCTCCAAGTTCATCCCCACCATCAGGGGCTCTGGTGAACAAGCAGGTAGGGACTTAGATTCCGCGCCTTGGGGGAATCCGGTCTGTGGAGTGCTAGAGGCTACCGCTGTAGGATCCCTGACAGAACCATACGGCCATGACAGAGTCTGGAGGAGGACCTTCCCCCTGGGAAGAGATGTGCCAACATCTGGCAGCACTCACACGAGCGGTGAAGACCCTGGAAGAGGGATACAAGCACCTGGAGGGACAGGTTCAGAGCCTGGCCGCACCAACACCCACAACATTGGGCTCAGTGGGAACACCTCCTGACACGGGTTCAGCAGGGCCTTCCACTGGAGCAGCATTTACAATTCCTCCGCCAGAACCAAGAGTACCGACCCCTGAGCGGTTCAGTGGGGATCGAGGGAAGTTCAGGGCCTTCCAGAACTCCTGCCAGCTATACTTTGACCTGCAACCCCGGACCTTCTCTTCAGAATCGGTGAAGGTGGGATTTGTTATATCCCTGTTGCAGGGCAAACCTCAGGGATGGGCCCATCGCCTGATGGAGGCCCACCACCCACATTTGAACACTGTGGCCACCTTCTTTAAGGCAATGGCACAGCTGTACGATGACCCGCATCGAGCTGCCTCGGCTGAGGCAGCCCTCTATTCTCTACAACAGGGACGCCAGGCTGCAGAGGATTATGCTGCGGAGTTTAGGCGCTGGAGTGGAGATACACAATGGAATGAGCAGCCTTGCGCCACCAATTCCGGTTGGGACTGTCGGAACCACTGAAGGACGAGTTGGCAAGAATAGGGGTTCCAGACTCCTTGGAAGGTCTAATAGATTGTGCGATCCAAATCGATCGCAGACTGCGGGAAAGGAGACAGGAGAGGTCCAGCTAGGGGCAAAGAACCTCATGGATGCTGCCAAGAGTACCAGTCATGCCAAGGGTCAGTGTCGGCAATCGGGGCCCAGAGCCGTCAGAGGGAGCCGAACCTATGCAACTCGGCTTGATGCGGCCTTCCCTTTCTACTGAGGAACGACAGAGGTGTCGGGCAAACAACCTGTGTCTGTACTGCGGAGCAGCGGGTCATATGGTGCGCTCCTGTCCGGAGAAATACTGTAAGTCCTCTATTTTCTCTAATATATCTACTGTGTGCACAGGCAACCCCACTCACTTGGCTGTACCTGTGTCTTTTCAGCTCCCAGGAGGAAGCATACAGGTGACGGCTATTATTGACTCCGGGGCATGTAGCTGCTTTGTTGATCTCAGTTTTCTTACCCAGCATCAGATACCGTTACTCACCAAAGAACATGGGTTGAATATTTTCTTGGCAGATGGGTCTCAAATAAAATCGGGGACGGTAGATCGGGAGACCCCTCCCATACACACCACAGTGGCGGGACATCACCAGGAGTTCCTCCGTTTGGACGCCATCGCGTCCCCCCTATTTCCAGTTATTCTGGGGCTCCCCTGGCTACGAGCTCACGACCCCCAGATTGACTGGAAGACCAGGTCAGTCCAGTTTCCCTCACAATACTGTCAGGAACATTGTTTATCTAAGTTATCATTAAATACACAGGCCCTACTGGCTGTAAGCCCTGATGCCGAGTTAGCCCAAATTGTGCCTGCGGCCTACCACCAATTCTTGGATGTATTTAGTCCACGGGGGGCAGAAGTTCTTCCCCCACATCGAGCATATGATTGCCCCATTGATCTGCTCCCAGGTTCAGAAATCCCTTTTGGCCGCATTTTTCCACTATCTGAACGAGAACTAGGGGCACTAAAAGAATACATTGATGAGAGCCTCCGTAAGGGATTTATCCGCCCTTCCACATCACCGGCCGGGGCAGGGATTTTCTTTGTCGAGAAAAAGGACGGATCCCTGAGACCTTGTGTTGACTACAGGGACCTCAACAAGATTACGGTCAAAAAACGCTACCCCCTTCCTTTGGTTCCAGAGTTGTTTCAGAGGTTAAAATCAGCATCCATTTTTTCTAAACTGGATCTCAGGGGTGCCTATAACTTGGTAAGGATACGTGAGGGGGATGAGTGGAAAACGGCGTTTCGCACTCGGTTCGGGCATTTTGAGTGCTATTTATGCCTTTCGGGTTATGTAATGCACCAGCCACCTTCCAGCACTTTGTCAACGACATTTTCAGGGACTTCCTTGACATTTTTGTAATCGTCTACTTGGACGATATCTTGATATTCTCCTCGTCTTTGGAAGCACATCGGGGACATGTTAGGAGTGTGCTAGAACGTCTCCGTCAGCATGGACTCTACGCTAAAGCTGAGAAATGCTGTTTTGAGCAGAAAAGTATCTAATTTCTTGGTCTAATTATCTCCACCACAGGGATCGCTATGGACCCTCAAAAGATCTCGGCCATCCTGGAATGGCCTGCCCCCACGGATAAGAAGGGCGTCCAAAGGTTTATTGGGTTTGCCAATTTTTATAGAAAATTTATAAAGAACTTTTCAGGCCTGGTAGCACCCATTACTCAGCTCACCAAAGTGGGAGTACGTTTCCAATGGACCCCAGCAGCACAGGCAGCTTTTGAGGCATTGAAAAAGCTATTCACAACGGCTCCCATTCTGAACCATCCTGATGCATCATTGCCCTACATACTAGAGGTAGATGCATCGGAAGTGGCTGTAGGAGCAGTGTTATCACAGAGGGTAGGGGCCAAGGAGCTGATGCACCCAGTGGCTTTCTTTTCTAGGAAGCTCTCCCCTTTGGAAAGGAATTATGATATTGGGGATCGGGAATTGCTGGCCATTAAGACAGCTCTGGAGGAATGGCGATATCTGCTAGAGGGGGCCCCACATCCCATTCTGGTCTATACCGACC